TGTGTTTCTTTTCTTTCCTTTCTTAAGGTCTCAATTTTATTCTTCAGTGATTATTTGTCTCAAATCATTTTTTTCATTTTTCTTTGTTTTTTGATCATGATGAGCATTAATTCTCTATCTGATAGGTCGAGAAGTTCTTCCATGTCATTGTTGAGCTCTGGTGACTGTATTTCTTTTTTGTGGTGTGTCCTTCTCCTGCAGGCCTGCTTGGTTATTTATGTTTTCTTCTCCCTGTTGTTTGCTTTCTATTTAGTTCTATGCTTTGGGACATTGTGCCACTAGTGTTGGCGAGCATCTCTTTGGAGTGCTCCTTTAGGGGTGTCAGAAACTGTTCACCAGACTGAGGCTAGCACTGGTAGACCAAAACTCCACCAGAGTGTTGATGCTGTGTTGCTGGGCACTGTCCCTTACAGTTCCCTCCCTCTGTATTTACTTAGTTCCAACAGGGAATCAGTTAGTTGGTGATTTTGTTCTGGTCATGAGGTGGCACCAGAGACCTGTCCTTGCTGACCTTTCCTTTTTCCCAGTGGTTCTTGGCTGGCCTTAGGCTATTTGTAGGTCACCGAGGAGTCCTTGTCTTCCTCTGATGGCGCCCGGAGCCACTCGATCACGTCTGTGGTGATTTCTTCACCGTTCTCCACAGTTCCCATTTGTGGGATGTGGTGCCTGAAATAGTTCCTCTCTACTCAGTGTCCCACTTGATCTGTGGTTTGTTCTTGCTGGGTTTTTTTTTTCCCTCCTTTCCGTTGGTCGGAGAGAGCCTACTCAGTGGGTGGAGGAGGGTAGCAGGGTTCTGACTCTTTCCCTTTTTTTAAAAAAAAAAGAAATAATAAAACTTCTCTTTGGCAGAGACTAAAAGTCTCTGTCTTGTGGGGAAACTCACTGTGTATGTGAAAGGGGGAATCTGGTGAAACTTTTCTCAGACATGACACAAGAACCCCAACTGTGAACCCAACACTTCTCCAAAATATCACTCCTCACCAATGTCAATGTTATAAAAACAAGCAAAGTCAGAAAAACAGTCAGCAAGAGGCACATCGAAGAGAACTGGCTGTAACTGAATGAGGCAATTTGGATTATGGAACATAAAATGTACATTAGGAAGAACTAATGAAATTAAGCACAGAGTTTGGTAATTGTGTCAATATTGCTTCATTAGCTGTAAAAAAATTACAAAAAAAATTCACTTAAGATGTTAACAAAGTGGAAATGGTGTGGGATAAATAAGAACTGTACTATCTTTGCAACTTTTCTGTAAATTTAACAGTATTCATTAAATGTTATATATTTTTTTAATGTCCTCAATACTAAATAGGTTGTAAAAGGAAAAAATGATCTACTTTCCTGTTTCCCCAGGTTTTGTTATCCAGAGGCTGGAGAGAGGGGTCCTGGGGAGAAATGCTGGAAACCTCACACCCAGGGCATTCCCCCCAGTCTCCTCTCCTCTGAGCCCTGCTTCTCTGACTCCTCACAGAGCATCTCACCACCAGGATGCTGCCCTCCAGGACCCCCAACTCTGCCCATCTCAGAACCGGCCCTGTCCGGGCAGCTCCACCAGAATCTGAAACACTCCACCAGAATTGAGAAACAGTCAGACAACCCTTTTTATACCGGGGCTGCCCTGTAACAGTTTGGCGCAGTAAAGAAAAGGGGAACCAAGCTAAACTTCCTCAAAGGAAGGGAAAATTCATTGCGCCCCCGGGCAAGTTTGGAGGACCCAAGATGGGGGGTCCCTGAAGTCGTGCCCTTTGTGGGGGGAGATGTCATTTTATAGGGTGGGGAGAGGTTAGGCAGGAAAACTGGGTTGGCAGGGGGGGAAACAGACTTAGGTGGAACTAAGTTGTTTTTTTGTGGAGCCGAGTTGTTTTCTCCTGCTTATGGCTTCAGTTTTGGTTTGATGGAATCAGGGGTACTGGTGTCAGGGCCATCTTGTTTGTATGTGGGCTTCCCCATTCCTGGCCCCTGCATCGACCTTTCATACCAGCCTTTTGTTGAAAAGGGGAAATGGTTCTTTCTTTGGCTACTTCCTGCTGGACAGGGGCGAAGACCAGGGTGGGGGCTCAGGCCTGGTTATGAGACAGTCTTTGCAGCGCGAGGATATGGGTGGAGGAGTTGGTTAAAGGTGCTACGGGACAGTTCTTGGATCCGGTGTTGGATGAAACGGAGTAAGCATGGGGCAAAACGAAAAAATGAGGAGATTAGGATAAGAAGCCCTATGAGTGGTAATACCTGGTCCGAGGCTGTGCTGATCTGGAATTGCCGGGCATAGACAGAAGAATGGGAAGTGGCTTGAAGAGATGGGATTAAAAACAGAGGAAGGAGAGGGGCCTCCCCGGTGGCGCAGCGGTTGACGGTTGAGCGCTGGGTTGTGAAGATGCCCGCAGCTTCTACAGCACCAGTTCAACCCTGGCCTCAAGGCGAGGGTCCCACATGACAGGCAGACCTCTCCTGCCGCCCACTGCTCCCCTCAGCAGTGTGCTTCATCAAGTCTGCCTGTTCTGCTCTTCGCTTTGTCTCTGGTGAGTTCTCTCCCACTCCTGTGCTTCTGACTGTACCCAGTGCTTGCATAAATAAATCTTTAAAAAAAAAATAAAGAAACAGAGGAAGGAGAATCAGAGGGCCTCTACTCTACAGGCTGAGTGGAATGTGGACCAGGGAAGCATTGATGCATACCCGAGTTGGGCCCAGCACTCGCATACATACTTCTTGTCCACAGGGACCGGTATGACCCTGGACAGCTGATGCCAGGACGTGTTGACAAGACCTTGACAGCCATTGGTGTAGTCAGGATGATCGTTTGTGGACCCATCCACTTTGGTTGAAGTGGTTTTGGAGAGATGGCTTTCAGAAGAACCTGGTCTCCAGGGCACAGCAAGTTGACAGGTGCATCAGGGAACGAGGCACAGGTTGTGGCAGACAACAGTCTGCGTGTTCTTGGAGCAGCTGTCTGAGCAAAGAGAAGTATGGAAAATATCCAGCCAACAGTGTAGGTTGGACAGGGAGCTCATGGTTAGTAAGAGGAGGTCTGCCATACATCCGTTCAAGGGGGCTCAGGAACAAGGGGCCACAGAGAGTGGCTCGGAGATGCATTAAAGCCAGTGGGAGCAGCTCCACCTAGGATTTGCGGCTCAGTAGAGTGTTTGGCTAGGTGGTCTCTGGTAAGAGTATTTACCCGTTCTACCTTACCAGAGGATTGCGGTCGGGAAGGAATGTGTAGTTCCCAGGTGATGCCCAGGGAGGAGACCTGTGGAGTAATCTTTGAGATAAAGGCAGGTCCCTTGTCCGACTGGTGATGGTGTCCACCATAGTAAGAAGAGGGTGTTATCTGCGTTAGGGAGTGGAACACCCGTGAGGCCTAGCAGGATGGAGAGTCAAGGATTGGGAGAGGGAGATGAGAGGGTCTTTGACAAAGAGAGTAGAAATCTAACAGACAAGAGGGTGATGGAGGGAAGAGAGCCTGGTGAATCAGTAGGTCCTGGAGCCGATGTGGAGAACTAACATTTACAGGTTGGCCCAGTGTGGGTTTTAAGGCCTGTCTAGCGAGACGAGCAGCTGCCGCAAGTGCGCGCAGGCAGGGCTGCCATCCTCTTACAGTGGGATCCATTTGTTTAGAGAAATAAGCAACTGGTCGCTGGACTGGCCCAGGTTGGCCCAGAACCCCTAGAGCAACGCCCTGTTGCTCATCTGTCAATAACAGGAATGGCTTTCCCGGGTCTGGGAGAGCGAAGGCTCATCTCAGAGAGCTTTGTCTGGATAAAGCAGAGAAAACAGGGTGTAGAAACAAAGAAAAGCATAATCATGATCACTGGGCCTACTATGGGAAGGATCCATGGCAGTAAGGGAGAGCTGGTCCAAGTTTGGATGTCCTGGCCCCAGCTTCGGCTGACGAAGGGTCAGTCAGAGGGGGCTTTGCTGATCAGATGAGCAAGCCCATGAATGTGCTGGAGGAGGGGGAGACACCTGAGTACACACGATTTCTCACCAAAATCTCTCTCAGACCTTCAACACTTTCTTTTGCTTGCTTTCTTTCTAATGCCATTTCATTTTACCCATCCGGCTTTACATAATCTTAAGGCCCTTCAGAATATCCCTCTTCCATACATTTCTTTTTTCAAACACACATACCTCACTTCACTTGCATTTACCAGACTTAGCAAAACCTTAGTTTTAGAAGGGAATTGAACACCATCTAAACAATGATGAAAAAACACAAACTTAAGGTAGATAGGCCCTGTAGCTTTACATTCCTGTCCCAAAGCCTGCATCTGTTGGGCGGTATTAATGTTTCCAATTTGGCTAAGGTCACCCTGCAGGGTTTGAATCCAGGGAGGAGGAAGGGTGGGTGGCCGTCTGGAGAGGATTTTTAAAAGGGGAAATTCCAGCTGGCTGACACTGTGTAAGAATCCCAAGCTGCAAAATCCCTCTTGCACATACTCCATGACGAGCTGCAGCTTCGGCCCAGGGGACACTGGACAACTAGATGTGCTCACTGCGGGACTGAGACTGATCATAGCCTAGGGCTTAATGGAGCAGAAAGATGTGCGGATTTTCCAGCTGAGCAGGTCGTGGTGGAGTAGGGCTGCTCTGTGAATAACCTCTGCCCACCTTGGAGAGTCCCGTTTGGATTCTAATATACTGGTCCCAGAGTCTTTCTTAAGGGGAGCTAGAGAGCCTCTCTATCTGCTCCTTGCAATCTGCACATTTTGCCACCTGGGCCCAAGCCTTTGCAAGAGCTCCTGCATCCTCTGCACCATCCGTGTGCCCAGGGGTGAGCAGCAGGTCTCTCCCACCAAGGGGGCAGAACCTAAGATGGGGGAGAGATGTCCAGGGTTCCCCGACTCTGGCCCTGGGGCCTCTGGAGGCTCTTCCCACAGTGCCCCACACCCCTCTCCTGGCCCTGTACCTGCTCAGCTCTCCCCAACCCCTCCACACCCCACCCCTCACCCGCTCTGCTCCCCTCTAGGTGCTTCACCAGTTTTGTTGCCCGCCTGGCCCTTCACCTGCTCTGCTCCAGGGACATCTGTGCTGCCCAGACTTCTGTGCTGCAGTCCTGTGAGTCTCATGCTGCTCCTGGCCCCTGTGACTGGGCCCAGCCCCTGAGCCTCTCCAGAGCCTCAACCTTCCCTGGTGTACTCCTGTTCCCCGTGGCCACTGAGTGGTTGTACCTTGGGGGTGGGGGTCTTCTGCCGGGTATGGCGCTATTTTCAATCTTTGTTGCTCTCCAGTTCCAATGCTGCACAGCAGCAACAAAATTCCAGGATAATTTCTAATCTCTGGCTCTGATGATTGCTGAAGGGGCCACTGCACTGGAAGGCCATCCACGTCTTGGGGGAGATCTTAGGGTGGTGCTGGAGGGCTGGGGAGCTGGACTGATTGTCTTCACTCTGCTTTCCTGGTCCCTCTCCAGCTGGGAGCCTGTCTCAGTGGTGCTGCCATGCTCCCCAGCGTCCTCCTGCTGGGGTCCGGCCACAGAGGTGCTGGGGTCCGGCCACAGAGGTGCTGGTGTCCCCCTAGGCATCCTCCAGCTCTGGGCCTAGCGCGGAGGGTCTGCCCTTCGGGGTGTCCTCTAGCAGGGACCTGCAGTAGTGGTGTGCTTCTGGGCATCCTCCAGCTCAGGGACCTGGCAGAGATGACCCTGTTGCCCGGGTAGCATCCTTTCCCCTCTTTCGGACTTCCTGCTTTCGCAGGATACCTGGCCTTTGGGTATTCCCCAAAAACTCAGGCTGCAGGAGGTGGGATGGGGGCATCCTTTCCGCTCTTTTCAACTGGGTACTTTCGCAGGATAACTGGCTTGGGGTATTCCCCGAAACCTCAGGTTGTGGGGGGGGGGGCAGTCCTTGGAATCGGGGTCACCAGGCTCCCAGAAGGTGATGTGCCTCTGCCGCTCCTCCCTCTCTTCCTCGTGGTCCTCATCCCCCTCCTGCTTCCCGGAGCAAAGGATCAGGTAGGTGGCTATGACCTCGTCGAACTTGTTAGCGTCAATGGCCTCCCAAATTTCCTGCCTCTGGTAGCCCAGGCGCTGCATACCTTTGGTTATGGCCGGGTCCTGGGGGCAGAGCGACAGCTCGCTGAAGGGCAGGGGTCCCTTGCTTTTTTCTGCTACCCAGGCTTGCTGCTGGATGCTCTCCCGGGTGCAGTGCCTCCAGGGGTCCCGTGCCAGCATTTTGGCCAGCAGGTCCCTGCCCTGGACCGTGAGGTAGGAGGTCAGGTGGATATTCCCGCCCAGGACGGGCTCCCTGATCACCCTGAGGCTGGGCCCCTGAAAGGCAGTGTGCCGGTCACCATTTGGTAGGGCATGATGCCCAGGCTCCACACGTCCACCTTGGGGCTGTTGTACCACTGGCCAAGGTAGACCTCGGGGGCCCTGTGTTCTGGGCGACAGCAGCACGTGCTCAGCGACTGGGGGAAGCCTTGGACTCTGAGCCAGAAGTCTGCCAGCTTGACTTTTCCTTCTCGGATCAGCACAATGTTCTCGGGGCTTCACATCCCGGTGTGCAATGCCCTCTGCATGGTAGTATCTGAGGGCCACGAGGATCTGTTGAAAGAGCGGGCAGGCCACGCTCTCCTCCAGGCACCCACGCGTTCAGGTAGTGCTGCAGGTGTTCCCCCTGCACGTACTCCATGACGAGCTGTAGCTTCGGCCCAGTGTCCACCGCCTGGAAAAGCTCCACGATGTTCGGGTGATAAAGGGCCTTCATGCACCCCATCTCGCGGGCCAGGAGCCGGAGGTCAGGCAGCTTGGACTGCGGACTTCCCATATGAGCACCTTCGTGCCCGTGAGCGCGTGCAGCGCCAGCATAACCTTGGTGTGGGTGCCCCGCCCCAGCGCCCTCAGTGCCTGGTAGCTTTTTACTTTATGTCCTGGGGAGTGAGGCGATTGCACATAGCGCCTATGCACTTGGACTACGCCGACTACACTCACCAGCCCTGACTGTGCTCACAGCCCTTGCGCTACCTCCGCTGACAGCTGACTCTCCTACGATATTAACAAATGGACTAGTATTAATAGTACTCAAAAAGTATTCACTAAACCTCACTAAATACTAACAATGCTAACTTAACTCAACCCGCAATACTAACTTCACTAACCTGACTAGCAATACTAACTACACTACAAATAAATAAAAATACACAATCAAAAAAATTACAAATGAGACAAAAATGTAAAAATATGATAACAATAAGCCAATTACAAACTAACCACTAAATTGAAGAATAAAACAGAACAACAAAGACCAATAGAATAAACAACAGAACAAACCAGAATTAGAAACTAAAAACTGGAAAAAACAAACAAACCAACAAAAAACCAGAGAAACGACAAAGGGGAAGAAAGAACAAACAACGAAACAAGAACAGAAGGGAAAATGGGGGAGACACTCAAAAAAAAAATCAAAAAAACTAAAAACTGAAATAAAAAAGAAAAAAGCCAATAACAAAACAATAAAGGAAAATAAAAAACAAGGAAATAAAAGGAAAAGAAAAAGTGGAAGAAAGTATAAGCAAATACAAAAAAAAATAAAGGAAAATAAGGAAAAAAACAAAGAAAGAAAACATAAAGTAACTAAAATAAATAGCCTAAACAAATAACTAAATAAGTAAAGCAATAAATAAACCAAAAGAAAACCAAATACCCCAAACCACGCTCTCACTCTCTCTGTCGGCGTCCGGAGTGAACAGGTCACTGTCCAGAGCTTCCCGGCTCCTGAGGACACAGGCGCAGTCCGGGCGGGCCTGATGGAGGCGGTGCCGGTGCCGTCACAAGGGCTCTTTGTGGCGTCAGAGCCACAGGCCACAGCCATTGGCAGAGGGAACCCCCAGCGGTTTCTCAGCCTTAACGAAAAAGCTGCCGCTTAACGACAACCCTTGGAATGCCCGAGAGGCCCTTTCATCTGTCCTGAGCAATCCCGGCCTGGGTTTTGGCTTTTCCAGGCGTCCCCATCCTGGCCCCGCCTTGTGCAGACGCTTTACTGTCGCGCTCACACTGTGGGGAGAACAGCAAACAGGGGGCGCAGGCGGTTGGGGCGCGCCGGGGAGCTGTCCACAGCCTCTGCCGCGCGCAGACCCCTCCTGCCGCGCCCGCTGCTCCCCTCAGCAGTGGATTTCAGTCAGTCTGCCTGTTCTGTTCCCGGCTCTGTCTCTGGTGAATTCTCTCATCCTCCCACGAATGTGGCTTTTACCACAGTTCTTGTATAAATAAATAAAATAAATCTTAAAAAAAAAATTTAAAAAAGGACGCACAGTTACTAGTGTTGGAGTGAACTAGTAAGGTTTAAATTCTAAAATTTTCAAGAGGTAATTTCAGATTTCTTTTTCAGCATGTCTTTCTTTTTGGGGCTATAATTGTGTCATGGACTCTAGTTTAGTAGAAAAATAACATTAAATAATAATACTATATACACAATAGTTCCTTTGAGAAGGAACATACTAAAACAAAAGGTCATAACAATACCAATGTGCTTAAATACTAAACAAAAATTTTAGGTAATTCAGAATACTTAGTTTTTTAGGTTGCTTTTAACACTTTTGCCAAAATTGATTTAATAGTGATAAATATCAGGAAGTATAAGTATCATTGTTTTAATTCTATATATATTACATATATCAATATGTGCACTTACAAATACATTAATAAGTATCTGAGGAAGGAGATTTTGAGAAGAGAGGTCAATCATTTTTTCCAAGGTTACCTATATATGATATTCACTCAAAAGAAACAATGACTAATTATTGAGAAACTACACTGTACTTTTGTAGAATTGATAGTGTTCTAGTGATTAAGATATAGAGAGAATGTGATAAAACTGACTTTTCAGTGACAGGGAAAAAAAGCAATATAAATAAGTTTTCAAATAATCCAACAGAGAAATAACAAATGGTTATAGCGTCTGTAAAAAGGATCAAAACAAACCAATTGAATTTTCAATACCATTTAGGATAACATCAAAATATGAAACCCTTAAGGTTATTTTTAATAAAATGTATGTATCTGTAAAGCTAGGAAAACATTATTCTTTAATGGAAATTATAAGACTTCAACAAATGACAATATGAATTCTATTGACAGACCAGGATGCAGACAGCAAAGTTTGGGAGAAAGCACAATTGCAGAGGGGAGCACAGAGAGGCAGAAAGGACTGAATCACCCTGCAGTAAGAAAAAGGAGGTCAGTGTTTCATGTGGACAAAGAAGAAAGAATTGTGAGATAAGGTCAAAGATATTCACAGAAACTAGTCACTCAGAACTTCATGCTAATTGTGAAAATGGAGAGAGGTGTTGGAGAGTGGAGTGAATTGAATAGTTTGTGTTTGAGAAAAATCTCTTTGCATTGGGGAAACTAGATTGTAGGAGAACAAGATGCAACAGGGAAAACAACTGAGAACCTTGCAGTAGACAAAGAGAGAGGAGTGGGTCAGAGTGGTACTTTGCTTAGGATGTTAGCTAATAGGGCTGATGTGGATGGGTATAGAAAGTGAGGGAAAGACAGAAATTCTTTATCCTGAGCAACTTGGTAGATGTAATTGCTATTTGCTTTTTTTTTAAGTTTTATTTTTATTTGCTGAATTCAGAGAACAAATAGTAGAGGTTTGGGTAAATAGAAGATTGGTGTAGTTGAAGAGGTTGGATTCCATCTTCTTTTATAAGAAATCACACCACTCTATCTAACAAAGATTATTGATATATAATGTTGTGGGGAATAATCAAGGTGTAGGCCCTGTTGCAGGGGTGAAAGAATTCACCAGAGACAGATGAGAACAGACAGGTGAATTTATTGAAATACACTGCTAAAAGAAGCAGAGGGTGAAATAGGAGGGTGTACTGTTCAGAGTTTGGGTCCCAAGTCTTATTTATACTCTAAACACCATTGACTGGTTAGGGTGACTAGTCTTGGGTGTGTCCTGACTGATGATCCGAATCAGCATAGAGGGTCATCAGTTCTGGGCTTCACCAGCTTAAGGACCATGTTTCCATGGCAGTCCCATCCACTCCCTTTATCATTCCAGCCTCCCATACTTGCCTGCTGGGTAAGGAGTGGGAGCTTGGTTTTCAAATTCTTACTGATACTTTGACAGGCCAGAGGTGCAGGGGTGAAAAATTTCACCAGAGGCAGACTGGAGAACAGAAAAGGCACATTTGTTCAAATACACTGCTAAGAGAAGCAGCTGGGAAGACAGGAAAGATCTGCAAGTGAAGAAAGATTTGGGGCTCCCTTTTATAACTAGTTTTGTCAGTTTTGCTTTGGGGAGTAAGTTTTGGGCTGGTTAGTGCAGGGGTGTCTG